GGGGGTAGATCTTAAGTGTTTGTACCATGCACACAAGAAAATGGTAACTATGTGAAATGATGAATATGTTAATCAGCTTGATTGTGGTAATTATTTCACAGTATACACATATCTGAACATCTCATACACCTAATACACGCAGTTGTTGTTTGTTAGTCATACTTCAGTGAAGTTGTGTGGGGAAGAAATTGACTCTTTGAAGAGCAACAGGAGTGATCTCTAAAGTCATGGAGTGTAAATTTTAGTCACTAGGATTTCTGCTTGTTCAGTTTGGAGGAGAGACACTAAGAACAGAAGCAGGCACAAAGTGTCTGAAGAATTAGATGAGGAAGGTGCCCAGGATTCATTCTATAGCTCCATAGATGGTCAAATAAGAAAATGTGAGCTTTGACTACATCCAGGGTTCATCTGGATGGAGATGATCCCCACAGGCCAGCAAGAGCAAGTGTGGTACCTCCTTCACTGAAAAAGCCTGAAAATGGAATAGATGGACTTCCAATTTAAGATGAGAGGCTCAGCTCACACATATAGCTCCCTTGTATTCCCAGGGCTCATTGAAATCACAGGAGAGATATTTTGACTACTTGCAAGACCAAACATAGAGGGAAATGTAGGAGAGACAACTATAGCCCAAGACCAAAGTGAGTCTTGAGCCAGTTTGTCTAGGTCATTTATTAAAGAATGTTGTTAGTAACAGCTGCAACAAGCACTTCCTGTGTCAACTGATCAACTGGTAGCTGTTAATTTTCTCAGGCCATAGCTCTCTAAAGAAAGTGGAGATAATACCTGGGGAGGGCTTGATAGAAAAACAGATCTTGAGGCCACCAAAGATTTTTCTCCCTAGAGTAATACCCCCCAACTCGACTTCAGCATGGTCAGATTCCCCACCTGCTTGATGAACTGAGTAAAGACATAGGAGGGCATGCCAAAGTAATTAATTCCTATATATGTACATATATTTTTAAAGTAAATTCTATGCCCAACACAGGGCTCTAACTCATGACCCTGAGATCAAGAGTTGTATGCTCTACCAACTGAGCCAGCCCGGTGCCCCACTAAATAGTTATTTTTTAATTTTTCTAATAAAAGCCCTAGAGTTGAAAGGCTTTTCCAGTCATGATATAAGAACAGGTCATTAGAAAAATGAGCAACCAAACAAGAAGAAAGTCTTGGAAATTAAAAATAAAGTTTCTAAAATGAACCCCAAAATGTAATGGATAGTTTAATTATGTGGTAGAGACCAAACTGTTGATCTGGAAGATGAAGTTGAGAATAAAAGAATCTGTAAGAATTGGAGCAGAGTTAGAGATGTGCGAGAGAAGAGTTTTGAGATGTAGAGGTCAGAGCCAGATGGCCCAGAGTCCTTTAACAGAACCTAAAAGGAGAAGATAGAGACTGCAGAGGAAAAGAAGAACCAAAAAAGTAGTGGAAGAAAAACAATCCCTTGGTAGAGGGAAGATTCCAGTCTCCAGAGTGCAAGGGCCCCTGGTATGAGTAGCATGAATGGACACATTGGAGCATTCCATAACTAAAAAGGAAAAGCAGGACTCTTCAAGGCTTCCAAAGAGAAAAACTGGCAGCCTTTAAAGAGAAAGAATCAGATGTGGCATTAGCAAAACTGGATGTTAGAATACCATCTAGCATTGTCAGAGTTCTAGGATGAAAAGAAAAAGTCTGAGCCTAGAATTCTGCACCCCAGCTGAGTAGGTGGGAAAAGGAAGGTGGCTTTCAGATATGCAAGAGTTGAGAAAGTTTAACACTGTGCTGTCTAAGAAGGGGAGGAAAAACCAACAACAGCATACAGATTAAATAAAACCAAAATCAGCTCCATCTAAGCGGACAACATTGAAGATGTAGCAATTTTTTATAATCTAGAAGTGAACAAGATCAAAACAAAATTAAAAGAAGATCCTGGGGGCACCTGGGTGGCTCAGCGGTTGAGCATCTGCCTTTGGCTCAGGTCATGATCCCAGGGTTCCGGGATCGGGTCCTGCATCGGGCTTCCTGCATGGAGCCTTGTTTCTCCCTCTGCCTGTGTCTCTGTCTCTCATGAATAAATAAAACCTTAAAAAAAAAGATCCTGTATTTACCAAGACACTCAAATGTTCTCACTAACGAAGTTTAAATGACACTTTTTACATTTCCTTTAATAGTGTTCTAACCACAGGGTACCTGGGTGGCTTAGTCGGTTAAGTGTCCAACTCATTTTTCTTTTTATTTAAGTAGGCTCCTCACCCCATACAGGGCCTGAATTCACAACCCTGAGATCAAGACCTGAGCTGAGATCAAGAATTAGACGCTTAACCAACTGAGCCACTCAGACACCCCTAGTGTCTAACTCTTGATCTCAGCTCAGGGCATGGAGCCTTCTTAAAAAAAATAGTGTTCTGGGCAGCCCGGGTGGCTCAGCGGTTTAGCACTGCCTTTGGCCCAGGGCGTGATCCCGGGGTCCCGGGATCGAGTCCCATGTCAGGCTCCCTGCATGGAGCCTGCTTCTCCCTCTGCCTGTAGCTCTGCCTCTCTCTCTCTCTCTCTCTCTCTCTCTCTCTCTGTGTGTGTGTGTGTCTCTCATGAATAAATAAAATCTTTTTTGAAAAAATAGTGTTCTAACTACTCTGCTCGGTTACAGTGAATAATATTCATATAATAATATTATTACAAATGCTATTTAGTGGCTTTTAACATTTAGACTCAACCCATAGACAAAATATAGAAGATTTACTTATTAGTTATAAAATAGAATACAAATGTTATTTATCTACAGTATAAAATTAATTATAATAGAAATTAGGAAAAACTTGAGAAGGCAGGAGTATAAATGAACTAAAGGTACCATCCTGCATAGGAGGGAATTAAAAGCCTCTGACTAAAGTTTATAAATCAAGAAATAGGAGAAAAAATGTATTCTAGTGGTGTACACACTGCCCTCCCCCCCACACACACACATGCAGTGAAATACTACCCAGCCATAAAAAAGAATGAAATCTTGCCATTTGTGACAACATGGATGGATCTTGAAGCTAGCATGCTAAGTGAAATAAATCAGAGAAAAACAAATGCTATATTGATTTCACTTATATGTGGAATCTATAAAAACAAAGCAAAACAAACAAAATCCAGATTCATAGATACAGAGAACAGATTGGTGATCACCAGAGGGGAAGGAGATTGGTGGAGTAAAATGGGTGAAGGGGATCAATAAATACAAACTTCCAGTTATAAAATAAATAAGTCATGGGGATACAATGTACAGCATGGGGTATATAGTCAATAACATTATATTAATTTTATGTGGTGACAGGTGGTAACTATACTTGTTGAGATGATCATTTTGCAATAGATACAAAGGCCAAATCACTACGTTGTAACACCTGAAACTAAAATAACGCTGAATGTCCGTTATACCTCAGTTAAAAAAAAAGGTAATGGTAATTACTAGAGCAACTGAATGGGACAGAGACTTGATATTTCATTTTTGCCCTTTGAAGAATTCACATATTTAAAATCTGTATGTAAATAGATTTTTTTTCTCTCCTAAGAAGTTGTTAGAGGGCCTTTTGTGTTTGTGAGAACTTGTCTTTGAACCACCCGAGGCAGGGCACCAAAAGGTAGCCTTGGGGGTCCCCTGTGCCTCTGTTTATATTAGCCCTACAAATCCAGTGCTGTCAGCTCCGCAGCTGGACTTAAAGTAGCTGAGAGGCCTACAGGGGCCAGTCCCAGATATGTGGTCAGAGGACAGTGGTCAAAGGGGTTTGTTCTGTTTGTATAGAATTTTGGCAGAGCCCCCACCTTCCCCTTTGTTGAGTAATTCCCTACTAGAAGTATACCCCAGTGTCTTCCTTCTATCTCCTCCCAGAAAGGCCTGTTCTCTCTTGTGCTGCTGTAAATATTGTAAATACGGTGCTCAAAGCAGTCATCCTCTTGGGCACAGATGGCTCTGATGCCTTCTCACCTTCCTTCCAATTCTCTTGGCCATTCCTGCCTTGGAGGGTAGCCATGTGAGTCTCTGCCTTCTCCATACTGTGGGGGCTGTGGGTCTCAGATATGATCCAGGCTCAATCCTATTGTGATGAGTGCCTCACGGTCCTTCCAACACAAGATCATGCATCTGACGGCATAGTAGCCACAAACTGACAAATCCTGAGCTCTCCATACAACAGCTGACCTTCGTGTCAGAGTAGTGGTCTCAACCGAGGGCAGGTTTGCTTCTCAGAGGACATTTGGCAGTGTCCGGAGACCTTTTTGTTGTCACACCTGGGAGAGGGGTTGGGGGTGCTACTGGCATCTAGCAGGTAGAGGCCAGGGATATTGCTGGACATCCTACAATGTGGGATGGTCCCCTATGACAAAGAAGGACCTGGCACCAAATGTTAGTAGTATCAAGGTTGAGAAACTGATATGCTGTCTCCTATTTCCAAGGTTTGAGCTGGTTGTGTGTCCACAGCTGGAATGCTGGATGAAACCAAAATTCTTGTTCAGCATAACAGACGAATGGAGAAAGATGCTCTAATTAATTTAATATTCTTTTTGCCTGAAAATTGGGAACCACCAACCTGAGAGTTTATAGGAAACGCTTATAGGGATGGTTTATTTTTTTTTTTTTTATAAATGTTTTTTTTTTTTTTTAATTTTTATTTATGATAGTCACACAGGGAGAGAGAGAGAGAGAGAGAGAGAGAGAGGCAGAGGGAGAAGCAGGCTCCATGCACCGGGAGCCCGACGTGGGACTCGATCCCGGGTCTCCAGGATCGCGCCCTGGACCAAAGGCAGGCGCCAAACCGCTGCGCCACCCAGGGATCCCTATAGGGATGGTTTAATCTTTGATTCAGACTGTTGCAAACCCCAAGTATTTTCTGGATGGTACTGGTAAAATGAGGGAAAAGAGGCATCCTTTTTTTGTAGGTAGAAGGCCAGATGATTTACTCTTGGGGATTTCTAAACATGTTTTGTTGGGTGTGTGTTTTCTTTGCAGACATTTTTCCTTAATTTTCTTTCAAAAGTTACTTGAAGCCCATCCTCACACACAGTGGCCCCCCATTAACTACCACGCTCCCAGCCTGGTGTGGCCTGCTTGCTCGGTGTCTGACCAGTCCTCAGGTGTATGACGTAAGTACAGCATGTCAGGGCTGTATTCCTGCTCACTGTGCCAGGGTAGTGTCTTTCCCAGAAAGACGAAACCTGTTGCACTCAAGCCTCCAAATCCACAGGTTTTGCCTCTCTAAATAAGATGATTAGAAACGTCCAACTTACATATGTTTATCTATTTTGCACCATAACAGAGAAACCTTTTACCTGGGCTGTGGGGCCCCATAACACCCGCAGCTGTGGTGTAGTAGAAGGGACACTGGATTTGGAATCAGAACACTAGATTCAAACCCAAGCCCTGAGCCATTTAAGTGTTTTGTGCTTTAGTTTTCTTATCTGTAAAATGGGCCTAGTTGCACAGGCTGATGGTGAGATTAAAGGGCAAGACACAGGAAAACACTGTGAACCACAAAGTGTTTGGCAAACATGAGGATTCTTTTTGTAAATGCTTTATTTGCGTTGATGTGGTCAGGTCCTTTCTGTTTTCAGATTCGGACTTAGCACAGTGTGAAAAGAAGATCCACACTAGTGGATGTCTGAGCTCTGGGGCTGACTCATGAGCTCCTTGTATGGGTGCTAGGCAGAGGGGTGGAGAGAGCAAACAGCTACCTACATAGAAGGACTAAAGGAGAGGAAAGACCCTTCTTCCTCTCTCTCCTCTGCCATCCTAACCATCCAGTCACAAACACAACCATCATACCCTAGGAGAGAAGATTTCCTTAAGTTTGTGTAGAGCTTTACAGCTCACAAAGGCCAAGTTTCTTCTCTCAGCCATACCATAAATAAGCACGTGCTACGGTGTTACAGAGGAAGAAAGTGCCAAGGTCCCAGGATCAGTAATTGGCAGAGCTGAGACCCTAATGCAGGTTTCAGAGAATTTGTAAATAACCTGCAATTTACTTGATTAGTGTTGAGAAAGCAGAATGTAAAACACCAGATCTGAGCGAGAAGGACCTGGACCAGGTAAGTTCTAATGAGGTGGGGCAGTAGGCTTGGGAACCATTGTTTGCACTTGGGTGCTACAGAGGGGCAGGGGACACAGCTGGGCAGAGTGCGCTGGGGCAGAGGGGAACAGTGGCCTGGCATGCTATGGGGCAGCCATAGATGGGGCGACTAGGTCAAGAAGCAAGAATCCCTCCATATTGCCACTACTGCCTTGGGCTGGGGTCCTAACCAGAGTCTCAGTCAGTTCCAGACACAGCGAGGTTGCGGTCGTTGGGAGAGTGGAAACACGGGGTCTTCGGAAAATTAATTGAGGAAGCCAAAGGAGGGAGAGTGGAGGGGCCCCCTGCAGGGTTTTGAGCCCTGTGAGGGTCTCTGGCCAGGCCTCCCTCGCGGTTGTTTAACACACTGTTGTTCTCACCCATCACCTAGAGGGTGTTTGTACTTTTGGTTTAGTTGGGTGATATTGAAGACGTTCACCATTTACACTAACTCTACACCACTCAGGATTCACATCCACCTAGAAAGCAGTGTGTTTCCATTCATGAAAGTGACCTCTGTTTATTTAAAATGGGCACATTCCTGCGACACATGTGTTTGCAGGGTCATTCTACAGTATTTTCCCGGCAGTCTTCAGTGGACAGCTAGTTACATAATTGTACAAACCTCCAGCTTAAAACTTTTGTGGAAATTGTCATCAAGTTTGAGGAAGTGGATTGGTTTCATCATCTCCATATCACGTTCATTGGATTGGTTTCATCATCTGCGTATTATGTTCATTAAGCTCTGATTTGGAAATCCCTATCCGCTGGGCTTTGCCATGTCCTTGTTTCGGGTACTATTTGTCCACGCTTATGAGTTTTGTAATGGAATGGGTCAACATCCAATCTTGTTTTCCCCTGTCGGTGAATTTTAGCCCTGCTTCCCACTGCCAGGGGTCAGCGTGGGCCACACTGGGGCTGGTGTCTGGGGGCGCATCTGTCTGTGCAGCTGTAGGGGGCGTGGCTACATTCACAGCATCTCCCTGCATACAATGACTTCACATTCCTCTCTGTCCTGCGTTCCAGGAGAGTCTCCCGCTGAAAATGGGGAGCTAAGAGCCCTGGCAGCAGTATTTTGACAGAGATGAATGAAAATCTTACTTAGTGCTCATCCGCACAGGAGAAATGGAACATGCTAAAATGGGGAACATGGACTCATTTGTCGTTAAGAAAACTGTCGCAGGACGAATGGAGCTTCAGGACTTTCCAAACACTGGTGGAGAGGAGGAATTTAGGGAGTTTGGAGTGAGTTTTGGAATTACGCTCTGCCTGAGTGGAGGGTTCTTAGTTGCACGTTTGCACCCTGCCTCATTCCAGTGAGGATTTGAGGCAGCCAGCAAGAAGCGTTTTGTGCTTGCCAGTCAAAAAAAGCCAGAGCATTGGTTATGTGGCGTCACGCTGTAGAGGGTGGAGAAGGCGACATCACTGAGAAGCCATGCAGAAAACAGACCTGCACTTGTGACCAGTGAGTGCACACACACAGGCTGGGGCGGGAGAAGGGGGTCAGCAGACCCGTGAGTCCTCCCTGGGCTGGTGCATTTAACAGGCACTCTGCTGCACCTGCTATGACTTCAGCACCACGAGGAAGGGTACCAAGAAGAGGAGGCGGTCACCAGGCTTTGCTGGTTTCTCACCTAGATGGGGATGCAAGTGTGATGGGGAGAATATGCCCGTGGCCTTGGGCAGTGTGACTGGCGGGGCCAGGGGAGGGGGGGTGGAGGGCAGGAGGCTATCAAGGAGGCAGGTTCTGTGTCCTGCACCAAGGACACCCTGCAGTCTAAAGGATGCAGGACTTCAGATGCACTTTGAAGAGTACATGGTAAATAGACCAAGAGCAGTTTACCTGGAGCCTTTTGAAACCCTGCCTGCCGAGCATAAGAGCAGCTCACCATGTTTGACAGATGTGCAGTGGGGGCAGCAGAGGAGCGAACTGCCCCCGCCCCCGGCTGCCGCTGGTTTTGCTGGTTAAATCCTTTGGAGGGTGAAGGGTTGTGCTGGCCCCGTGATGCTTCCCAAGCTCTCCCCAACGACCTGGTAGTTTCAAGAGGCTGCCACCCGGCTAACACCTACCTGCCTTGCCCAGTCTTGGCCGTTTCGCTGTAACTTCAGCTTAGCATGAGATGCCGAGCTGGGCCTCTTCCTGACCCAGCTGATGTTTTCCATCCTTGATGTGGGCCAAACCAGTCCAGAGGCAGCGTAAATCCCAACTCTACTTCCTACCAGCTGGACAACCTGGGGCAAATTTCATAGGTCCTCTTAGGTCCTCAGGTTTTCTCCGTCTGACATGAGTGTTCCCTGCCCTTCACAGGCAGAGAGGGGCAAGGATCAGGTGAGAGCTCATGTGGCCTGAAATACATGTTCAAGGAACGGTGCCTATCCTCTCCACGTCTCACCGCATCTACACAAGGGCTTCCCATCAGGGGTTCTTCTGTGGAGACAGGAAGGAAAACCTCATTATGCTTTGTCCCCTTCTGTCAGTTGCTGACAAGGACAAAGTAGTTCAGATATAAACCAAGTGGGTTTCAGGTGGTTTGTGTAGGGCAGGAGGCCCACTCAGAAGACCAGCCCAGAGAAGAGAGGGACCCAAAACCTATTTGCAAGTTGGCGATGACCTTACCCCTCCTTTCCTTGTGGGTCGGGAAGCCAACAACCCAGGCTGGCCTCCCTTCCTTCCCTTTTGTCACTAACCCCAAACTGTTGAGCATTGAAAATCGGAACTGCTTCCTGGGATTCAGAGCCATGGTTGGGGCACCGGTGCCCTTGCCTTAAATAGCACTGGACAGGTTACTTACATCCAGGATCCACACCAGGGGCTCAAGGCAGTCATGATTCACAAGCCCCAGTTCTCAGATGAGGAGTTGAGGTTGGGGTTGGCTCCAGCCCTAGAAGCTACCAGTCTCCCATTTGTTGTCATTCGTTGCACTTTGCAGAACCAAGAGCCGCTGAGAGAGGAAGACTCGGATTTCATCCTGACCGAGGGCGACCTCACCCTGACCTACGGGGGGGACAGCACAGTGACTGCAAATGGCTCCTCGGGCTCCCACACAGCCTCCACAAGCCTCGAGGGCAGTCGGAGAACAAAGAGCAGCTCCGAGGAGGTGCTGGACCGAGCCCTGGGAATGGGAGACCAGCCGGTGTCTAGCCGGGGCACACGCCTGGTGTTCCCCCTGGAGGACAACGCGTGACTCTCCCCCCAGGGCCTGCAGCGATGAGGCGGCCCACATGTGCAGTGAGGAGGCCGCAAGCCCCATGGTTGTTTGAGATGGGGCACTGACTGAGTGGAACTTGATGCTTCTATCTTCCTGAGGTCTGAAGCTATCTTAACATTTAAAATTTAACCCAAGATGCAGATGATGGGGCTTATATGTCTCTAACTCAAGACAAATGCAGACCTAATTCCTACTTTTTCACGTAGTAGTGTGCTGTTCAGAGTCAAACAAACAAATAGCATGCTTTAACGGTCTAACTCATTCACCTGCAGTATCTGAGCAAGGTGTGGCAGGCATGGGGAATCCTCCCAGGAGAGGCTTCCAATCGATACACAGCAGTGCCAGCCCAGCTGGCTGCAGGAATAGCAAGGTAGGGGAGAGCAGGCTGGAAGAACGATCAAGAAGGAGGCAGCTGAGATTGGACCTCCAAAGATCACGGGAAGCCGGTGGTCAATGGGACAGAACTCACGAAGATGCAATTTGAGCGGAGGCCCTAGCACAGAGGATGGTAGGACCACGATCTCATTTCAGGCTTCTGGACCCCTTTCGCCACCTGGGTTTCCAGGAGGCTGAAGATTGGAACTATATCCGTGAACATTTCAACATGGGGAAAGAATTAGCATTCCTTCTCTGGAAATCTCCAGAAAGAAGTAGCTACTGAAATGTTTAAAACCAAAGGCAAAAGCGTGTTATGCTGTTGGGCTTTTAAAATTAATCTGAGGACAGGAGAAACTGTTTAGAAACTAATGGCAAAAATCAGTCAATTCTTCAGGGCTACCACATGAGTGAGCTGCCTGGCAATCGATTCATAGGACCGAGATTTCTACTGTGGGTTTAGAAATAACACCAAGATTTGTGGGATGCTTCTATCGGGATGAGAGAGCAGCAAGGAGCCTAGGAGGCAATAGGCTAGTATCCAGATGGGGAAAAACACCACACTGCAAAAAATATTGACTGCAAAACACAAAATACAAGCTCTTGTTCTAAGGACCGAGTAGAATTCCAAACTTTGATACTAAATGCATGGGATTTCAGTGGCCATGTGAGGAATGAGAGGCAAGTCAATGGAAAATTAAGCGTTATTCAATCCCGTGGAAGGTTCCGCCTACTGTAAGATAAAGAATCCAGATGTCTTGACACTGAGTGCCATGTAGAGAAGGGTCATTTTCTTGGTATCTGGGGAGGCTCGCACCAGCTTAATGTGTGAGCATGGTTTGAAATTTAGGTTTTTAGTTTGGCTTCTTTGTGGGTGAACTGTACTACCTGCCCACACTTGGGGCCTCCCAGGTAAAATACTGAGGGAGCCCTTGGAAACCAAGTTTGGGATTCTCACTGTGTCTCTGCTTCAGTGCTAGTATATGTGACAACCCAATCTATAAAAAAAATTGCTTTCATAAAATGTGGGCATTTTTCTTATTGTGGCAGACAAAATTGTGGCCCAGTCGAGTGCATCCATAAATGAAACCAGCCATTTAATCTTCTTAACTCACATTTTTAATGGTTAATATTTAGATAAGACATTATTATACTTTGCTTTTTGAATTGATGATTTGTGCAAAATGGGCAAATATTAAGTTCAGCCATATGAAATTGCTGATATTTAACCATTTTTGAAAAAATAGAAATGGCAATTTCATATGGTTTGATATGATATAATTAAATGATTTGTATTCCCCTCTTTCCTTTCTATGTATCCTAAAGTCCATTTTTATTTTATCATGGGCATCCATGGGCTTTGTAAGCTTGAAAAGTGAGCTAAACAACATATCTCACCCTGTAGGGCTCAGAATTACCTAGGCTAGTCAGGGACTTGAGAAAATCTCTGATCCCAAGCCAGAGAAACAGCTTTTTTAGAGAGCCCCTGGCATGTCGTGGGGTCAGAGTGCAGAGAGCGACTCCCAGGCTTGGCAGAAGGCTGGAGATGTGCACATGTGCCTGTGCCCAGAACCCGCATAGGCTTTATTCAGTACAGTTACCTCAGTAATGACCAGTCATGCCTGTAAACTTGAAAGGTGAGGCGTGTGTGTGTGTGTGTGTGTGTGTGTGTGTGTGTGTGTGTGTGATTTGCAGAGATGGAGGGATAGGCTGGTCAGCTCTTTGGTTGGGTCTTTATAAAACCTTGTTTCTCTCTTGTGTTGCTTACTTATTTAATTTTGGAGGGAAAAAGCTAACAGGAAAACCCCGATAGGGTTCTTGAAAAAGAGCCAACCAGGTAGGACCCATCCTCTCCTCATTAAAGTCGAGGCTTTGTTGGCATTTTGGCTTTCCAAGAAGCTTTTGTCAAATTAATAAGAAATACCTTCGTGAGGGGGGTAAATAACCAGAGTTCTCCATCCTAGTCCTAAATCAATACATAGATTGTTGTGTTTTCACCAAAAGGTCTTGTAGTCTTGACTCCAAACGTTTTATTCGGACCTACTTTAAGTAAATGGAGATTTGCCAAGATCACAATTTTGCTAGTGTTGTAGTTATTTGGTTGGATTTTTTACTCAGTGGATAGGAGTAAGTCACTGACATATGATCCTAATTTTTGTTTCCAAGATATGAAGAATAATCCTGACCTTACCAGAGATGCTAGGAAATGAGTCCATTCATCAAAATATTTCCATCTCTAGAAGCTTTATACCTATGCTGAATGGGGAAAAGTAGGTGCCATGAAGCCCCCAAACCATCTAACTCAAGGCCAACTGTCTGCTGCCAATCTGGCATAAATCCGATTGAAACTGCTAAGTGCCTCAGATTTAACATCTTATAAACATATTTGTTCTGGGTTGGAGGGGTTGATGTTGGTTCAGCAGAGCTAGCTGTTCTAGAGGACAAGTCCTCAATCCTGGCTGTGCATTAGGATTGCCTGGCTGGTTTTTTAAAAATACCAGTGTAAGGGCCCAATGTTCAGAGCTTCACATTCAGTAGGTTTAGAGTAGGGCCTGGCTTCAAGTGCTTTATTGAGGATCTTCAGGGATTCTAGTGTGCAGCCAGGGTCAGGAGGCTTTTAGTCCACAACCTGGAGTGGACCCTATTTGGAACCTTGAAGAATAGCCTAGCAAATTAAGTTTCCTTTAATCATTAGTCCTGTGGAACAATCTGAGTGATGACCAATTAATATAGTTTGGACAGCTGTGAAAGAGTTTCATGCAAATAATCTTTGCAGAACTCCAGAACATACACCATAAAGGACAACTGAAAATGTCACACTTGAGCCACCTTAGTGCATAAAAGGGAGAGAAGGGTGACTTGAGTGGATGTGTTGGGTGGGTGAGTGGGGATTAAAAACCTGTCCTCTTGGCCGCTCTTTTATGGAAAGAAAGAGGCTTGGTCTTAACTGAGCAGCTATCAAGTGTGAAGGTTTTGGAGAAGCTTGTCGTTTTAACATAACCCAGGATGAAATGGAGTCCCCTTTGCGAGTCAAGTCAGCTTTCTTTCTCATCACACGTAGCTTGTCCCCAGGTCTGAATCCCTGCTGGACTCCTCAGGATGGGGGTGGGCCCATGTAACACCTGAGTGGAGGCCCCAGGTGAGTGGAAGCTTGTGACAACTTCCAGGTCACAAGGCAGCGGTGTTGGCAAACTTCCAGATAGGGCCGGCAGAGGGGAGGGACAGACTCCAGTCATTCCTCTTAATACTCTCTTTTGGGACTACAAGGAGACCTGAACCTTGTCTCTTCGAGAAGGAAATCTGCACTTTAGATGAGGCTGCAAGAATAGGAAGAAGGCATATGTGATTAAATGGACTCTGCCCATCCGAGGTACTCACTGGGGCAGCTGAACAAGCAACTTGATGCCCTGCAGCCAGGTCTCACACTGCAACAGCAAATGTTTCATCAGGCAAACAGCAAGGAACTTTCAGGCTGTGTTCTTGAGACCTGAAAATGTCCTCTGTGGTTTGGTGAACAAATTAAGTCTCTTTAGAAAATGTGAAAAAAGTTCTCTCAGCTGTCCATGAACATTTCAGTCTAGGGCAATTTCCTTCCAAAATAGAGGGCTGTTTCATGACACACACATGCCCCCCTGTCCAGTTATCTCTCTTTCTTTGCGGGGGAAGTCAATGTCACCGTGTCAGATACCTTAATACGAGCAGAACAATTTCTTTTATAAAAAAGATTTTATTTGGGAAAGAGAAAGCAAGAGACAGTACAGGCAGGGAGAAGGGAGAAGCAGGCTCCCCGCTGAGTAGGGAGCCCAAAGAGGGGCTCAATCCCAGGACCCTGGGACTCTGAGGCAGACACTTAACCAACTGAGTCACCCAGGTGTCCCTGAACAGAACAATTTCTAAATGTAGAAACACCAGTGATGCACTGGTGGTGAGGCCACTGAGCCACTCAACGGATGAGAGAATCATCGTCTTGAACACCTAGCTGGGTACCCATGGTGAGTTCTTTTTTCCCCTGGTGAGTTCTAAGAGGCATATCACAAAGCTGATTTTCCCATCTGTTGTAAGATGTAATCTGGAACAAGGGCTTCTGGAAAGTCAGCTTGCTGATTCAATAATAATGTGACTTCTTATTCCACTTCGGCAACAGGGAACTTGGCAGGTCTCATGCACACCTCTTGATGTTGATGCTGCAGATGAGTTAGTGTAGGAGTGAGCCTGTCACGTGCATTCAAGTGGTATCACTGAGTTCTGATCTCTTATGTTGGTCTTCAAGTGAAACTCTGGCCTACCAGTGTGAGATGCTGTACTCTGCTACAGGAAGCTGAAGGAAGTCTAATGGCCAAGAGTTAGCAACAACCCATCTGAATGCTGCTTTCGCTCTGGCACCTGAAGAGAATTTCCACCTTTCTTAGACCCTAATAAGGACAATATACAGAGAAATGCTCCAGAAAGCAATGCTAGTCACTAACAAGGAAAAGCAAGTAGGTTCTTTGACAATCTTTTCAAAACCAGACCTGGAAATAAACCCCTTTTCCCAGTTTCAACTTTTCTAAGTAGGGCTTTCTTTTTTCTTAACTAACAAACATGTCACCTAGCATGAGCAGAAATTGTAATGAACAAAACCAAAGTTTTTGATGTTAGTTTTATTTTTGTAAGCAGGGTAGAACCACGGCCCACATGGAACACGTAGGCAGCCAGTCGTCTGCCACATGAGCCTGGGAGAGGATGAGAAGGAAGGTCTTCCTGTCCTGCTGCATTTTGAAAAGCCCTGAGAGGCACATGGAGACCCAAGAGAGGCTGCCTTCTATTCAGGTGGCTGCCTTCTAAAAACGATTAGCAGAATTGCCAAAATGTTAGGGTCAGTGGAAAATTGCAGGGCCTGTGTATGTTGAGGAATTCAGAAAGAGGCTTGTAAACACCACAGAGCCCAGCACTTGCTGTCTGAAGCACTGAAAGAAGTGAAGACCCCCGTGCTACTGGGTGACGGTCCAACTGCCTGGACATTTGGGGTGCACTTCAGTTGCGATGATGCCAGTCATGGGCTTTGGGGAAGCAGAGGAATGACTTCCCGTTGTGTGGGTGTTAAGTCTGTGGATTTGGAATGTATCACTGAAATCACTCGTTCGAAGAGTGACTTCACAGTAGGACCACCTCCTCCTAGGTTGTCTTATCATTTTTTACATAAAACACACCTGGTCCTTCTTACTTAGGCAGTTTCACTGTGTCCGATAAAATGATTAAATGGGAAGGCCACCAAGATTCATTTAATAGCCGAAGAGCAGTTTTTAAAAATAGTATAGGATGAATTTAACGTGAGATGACATGACCTTCCGGGGAACTTTTTAAGAGCTTACACAATGTAATTGGGGAGAATTTTGTCTTCTATTTCCATTCATCAGTAGCAAACCAGTGGTCTTACAAAGATTAATGTTATAGTATGTTATAGAAATAAACATGAAATAAAAGTATGTTTAACTGTGAAAAAGTGAAGACTTGGAGTTATCAGTAACCTTTATGTGCACTAAGGAAAACTGCAGGTAGGCCCCCAAAGTGCTACCTTTCCCTAGCATTTTATTTACTGTTTGCCTTTGTGTATATGTTTTGATTGATATTGTAAAGCTAGCTACATGTTTTCCTGCCATTGACCTATATTTAACACATTTTTCTCAAAGCTTTTTTTTTTTTTTACAAAACTCAAAATAAAAAGATTAACTGGCTGAGCTAATCTTCTTTTGCATTTTAAACATATCCTCTGTTAGTAGAAGAATGCAATGTGATCCTTTTCTTGGTGTTTTCTTTCCCTCACTGGGAGGTTCTTTTCTGAGTGGAACCTATTTCTCTCTAGCTCCCTTAGGCCCGAGACTGACAAATTAAGGCTAGCTAGCCCCTCGGATCCGGCTCACCATCTATTTTTGTAAATAAAGTTTTATTGGACTACGCTAGGCTCCTTTATTTGCATAAGATCTGTGACTGCTTTCATGCAGAACTGAGTAGTTGTGACAGAAGCCAGCGACAATTTGTGCAGAAAGCCTGGACGATTTACTGTCTGGCTTTCTTACAGGAAAGGATTTTGCCAACCCCTGATTTAGTTGCTAGAAAAACTTAAGTTTTAAAATAACTCTAAAAATCACAGCAACTTGGAGAGAAAATGAACGAAAATATCAGAGAGGGTGACAGAACATGAGAGACTCCTAACTCTGGGAATGAACAAGGGGTGGTGGAAGGGGAGGAGGGTGGGGGGGATGGGGTGACAGGGTGACGGGCACTGAGGGGGACACTTGACGGGATGAGCACTGGGTGTTATATGTTGGCAAATTGAACTCCAATAAAAAAAAGTTAAAAAAAATCACAGCAACAGATTTCTGAGATTTTAATGTCCCTCAGGATTAAGAGAAACACTTCAGATCTGGTCTGTATTGTGACTTCTGGCATACAAGTCGTTAACAGGCTTTGAGTGTTGCTAAGATTCTTGAACTCCATAGTTTCCTTCAGAGTCTTCCTATTCCCTTGTATGTAGACTAGCTTTTCCCTGAACCATGCAACTGAACTTCATCATAAAAATCTGCATCCTACCAAAACAAAACAAATCTTGTCGTTAACATGGACTGTGGAGTCATCTAATAGTATAATTACAAAGACACCAGACAGAAAAACTCGATAGCAAAAATCTGTGTCAGCTCATTAGGGTTCTCCTACCCCAGGGAAAGAAATTCCTTTTTAAAAACTGGTTTAGGGGGCAGCCTGGGTGGCTCAGCAGTTTAGCACCGCCTTCAGTCCGGGCCCTGATCCTGGAGACCAGGGATCGAGTCCCACGTCGGGCTCCCCACATGGAGCCTGCTTCTCCCTCTGCCTGTGTCTCTGCCTCTCTGTGTCTCTCATGAAAAATAAATAAAATCTTTAAAAACTGGTTTAGGGGCAGGTGTAGGGGGAGGTCTTTGAAAAAGCCGAATGAGTCAGGTTTAAACCAATAGCACTCAGACCTTTTATTTAATATCAAGTAATTTAATCAAGATACAAAGGACTGCACTTGGCCCTTATTCACATTGATATTCTGTTCAGACACCTGCTGCTGATGGGGAATGGTACCAAACCACGTCTCTTCTTTGTTCTGAGAACACCTTGTTGAAATGGCTCCAGTAGAGGCAGGTTCAGGCTGGGAACTAAAGTTATGGCCATAATTACCTACATCGGACTGTCACTTCCTTACTGAAAACTTCATTTCAACCAACGTGTCGGTCATTATTTAACAGCTCGTGATATTGCTGCTCTGCAGAATTGCACAGCAGTCGGTACCCAGCCAAGTCCCAGTCTCTGACAGTGTGATAGACTGCCTCTGCAGCGTGGCTTCTCCAGTGCTGGGGCAACATGCTGAGTGCCCCGGTTCACGGTGGCTGACCTGGAAGGGAAAAAACAAAGGATGTTTTCAACTTCAGAACACAGCAACCCACAGACAGGAGGCCTGTTGAACTCTGACGCTATGAGGCCTCTTAACTATGAAGCCCATAATCTTCCCTTATTTAAGCTGTGTGATCCAGTGCTGGAAATCCATACCGTCAGTACCTGTCATTTCTGCTTGGGGAGGACAGGTCAGGAGAAAATGTGACCCAAGGGATATTTTGGTGAGGAAAAAAATTGGGCACCACTGCCAGGATGACCGCGCTTTCTGCAGCTCCTACTGTGGGGGCACCTGAGGAGGGGTACAGAATGTCCTGAGACTTGCTGGGGAGACTGGGGGAAGAGCTGGGATCGAAGCTGTACCCTTCAGGCACTGACCACGTAACCGTCCATCCTCCACGTGTGCACTGTTCACGTGGGCAAAATCAGTCATCCCAGCAACAATCAGCTATTGTGTAAAACGGAGGCTGTGTATAAGCAACAAGTCCAGCTTTCTACCTTTGGGGCATCTGAACTTTTTTCTTCTTTCATTAAAGCCCACTGCTTGTGCAGTGCAGAGTTTGGGAAAGAAGCATCTTCAAGATGATAAAGAGTGTGCACTAAAGATCCCCATTAAAGAGCCAATTTCATAAATGCCCTCAGGCCTTCCTACGAACCTTTAACATTGTTAGTACAGGTTATCTACATAAAAGAAGAGCCACCATGTCAAATTTCAGTATAGTTTAGTTTAATATAAATCAATTTCCAAAAGGACTAACTCTGGTTCCCGATAAGATGGAGTTAAGTGCATTTGTCCTTATTCCTTCCACAGAGTGTAACAAAAAACCCCAAACATGAGACATGAGACAAAGACTCTGAAGGGCCCAGACAAGAAACCAGACTGACTGCAGACCTTGGGGAATGAGGGGCAGCAGAGCTGTGAGTTCCCTTGGTTTTCTTCATGCTTCCCCCTAGATCTGGGAATAGACACTGGAGATGCCAGCACACCAGGAATGCAAATGGTCACAGACCAAAAAGCCCCAAGAAAAGCCTATTACCTCTACCCAAAGGACAGGGAAAGGGTCAGCCAAGAAGCCAGAAACCAAGCACCATACACAAAAACCCCCCCTCCTGTCCGGAGAGCCCTAGTGGGAAGCCAGGGCTTCTAGAGTACCACCCCCACCTGATAGTAACCAGGTGGTGTACCCCTTCCTCCCCCAGCAGTGTCAGTAGAGCCCTGCTAAAACAGAAGATCTAAATAAAATTCAGAGATTCAAATGTATCCCAAATATTCAGGATATGATTTAAAAATCACATGTCAAACCAAGAATCAGGGAAATTTCAACTTGAATAAGAAAAGTAAGTGACAGATGCCAACACTGAAAGAGCAAAGATTCTGAAATTATCCAAAAAAGGATTTTAAGCCACACATCAATATGCTTCAGTTAGCCATTAGGAAACACACTTGAAACAATTTAAAAATAGGGGTGCCTGGGTGGCTCAGTGGTTGAGTGTCTGCCTTTGGCTCAGGTCATGATCCTGGGGTCTTGGGATCAAGTCCCCACGGGGAGCCTGCTTCTCCCTCTGCCTATTTCTCTGCCTCTCTCTCTGTGTCTCTCATGAATAAATATATAACATCTTTTTTAAAAAAAAGAATTTAAAAATAGAAATTCTTGGCAAAGAAATATTAAAAAAAGAACCAAATAGGAGTTGCAGAACTGTAAAGTACAATAACCAAAATTTTAAATGCTCACTGGATGGATAGGCTCCATAGCAGAATAGAGATGACAGAGTAAAGAATTAGTGAATCGGAACAGAGCTATAGAACTTATCTACTGTGAACAGAAAATAGAGTGAAAAAGGATGAACATAGCCTCAGGGACTTGTGGTACTACAAAAAGTGACCTATTCATTTCATCAGGGTTCCAGAAAGAGGAGGAAAAGAGACTGAAGCTAAAAAAGTACTTGAATAAATATGTCTGAAAATTTTCCCAAATTTGGCAAGAGACATAAACCTACAGATTCAAGGAGTTGAGTGAACTCCAACCAAAAACATAAAGAAATCTACACCATGATACAGTGTCCTCAAACTTCAGGGAAGACAAAGAAAAAATCTTGAAATCAGCTAGAGAGAATGGATGCATTGCTTACAGAAACAATGATCTGAATGTCAGTGTATTTCATATCTGAAAACATGGAGGCCAGAGGAAGTGGCACAATGCTTTCCAAGTGCTGAAAAAAAATAATTGTCAATGCAGAGTTGTATATTCCATGATACTATCCTTCAGAAATGAAGGTGAAATAAAGACATTCTCAGGTGACAGAAAACTAAGAGAATGTGTTGCCAATAGATCTGCTGTAAAAGAACTACTAAAGGAAGTTCTTCCAACAGAAAGGAAATGGTAAAGGAAGGAAATGAAGCATCACAAATAAAGAACAGAGCAAATATAACAGACTATTCTCTTGAATTAAAAAAAAGTTTGATAGTTGAGGCAAAAATTATTAACGCTATATGATAGAGTTCTCAATATATATAGAAAAGAATACAAGAGGATTATAAAGGGGACAGGATAAAGGAAGCTAAATGGACATGAAGTTTGTATACTTCCACTTGAGGCAGTGAAATGTCGAGACCAGTAGATTGTGATTAGTTGCATATGTATAATCTAAAGAAAGCACTAAAATAAGCATACAAAGAAAAATACTCTGAAACACTGCAGATAAAATGAAGTCCTTAAAAATATTCATGTAACTAACAGGAAAACTAAAAGGGGAATGGGAACAATAAATAGAACAAACAGAAATCAAGTTTTAAAAATGGCAAATATGGGATGCCTGGGTGGCTCAGCGGTTAAGCGTCTGCCTTCAACCCAGGGTGTGATCCTGGAGACCGGGGATCGAGTCCTGCATCAGGCCCCCTGCATGGAGCCTGCTTCTCTTTCTGCCTCTGTCTGTGTTTCTGCCTCTCTCTGTGTATCTCATGAATAAATTTTTAAAATCCTAAAAATAAGTTAAATAAATAAAAATGGCAAATATAAGCCCTATAATATCAATAATTACATTAAATATAAATGGTCTAAATTCACAAATATACAAAAAGAGACCAGCAGGATGGC